TTATTCATATCTATAATAGTATTAATTTATCGAATTTAATATCAATTGAATAATTATTCAACGAATAGAAATATATCTTATTATCAAATTATCTTCAGTTTATGAAACTCATTCAGATTTTAGAATAATATCGTTACTCGAAGTTTAAGTGACTTTTTATGGTTTTGCAACATTCCTATACATGCGAGACAATATCAATCGAGAATAAAATACATAAGATTTTCTAGAGTTTTTTCTGTAAATAAAAATTGATCTTAGTTTATATAACAGGACATTAAATATCATGTTTTAGACAAAGACAATATGACAAAAAAATTGTAACTTATTTTTATTGAATTGATTTGATATATTAATAAAATAATATATATTCTTTTCGTTAATATGAAGATTTTCTTCGACGAAATTAAATGAGAATCAATTTCTAACGAGTAAATATAAAATATAACTATTCAATTCAAAAAAAAGAATTTCTGTTTTGTTTTCTTAATGCATATTTTTGTTAAATTAAGTTAAATAAGCAAGAATAAATAATCTTTTTTTTTATTTATTTTTTCAAAATAAAATATAAAAAGCTCGAATATAAAAATAAAATCTAACGCTTGAATAAAATAAAAGAGGAATTAATTTTGAAAAGTAACTATTCTTCCAAATGTTTTATTTGTTCCCCAAATACCTTTTCGAAGACACGCTAATTGAACAATTTGACTATTTCCTATGTTTCATATAATTGAAATGAATTACTATCTAGTAGATATAATATTAAGTGATCCACCTGATGAAGTCCCGCCAAGACAGAAACAGCGTTGTCGTGGAACGGCGAACTATCTAATTCACACCCACACCCACACCCTCAAATCATCGACTGTAGTAACAATTGATCTTACCCATATATAAGAAAATAAGAAACCAATTGGAATCCATCACTACTTGAAGAAAACACTATTCTCGTATCACAAAGCTATGAAACTAATTTCTATACGGAGGTCACCAATGAATTCTTTGGATAGAAGTTTTTGAAAAAAACACAATGAGAGACATATTTTAGTGAACTGGTGGCAACTTTGCGAAACGATAACCATATTTTTTCTATTGTTCTGGAATTCGCGAAACGTTTTTTTGCTATCCATTTTCAGATCAAAAACAAAACAATTTTTTTATAATCTTCTGATGAAAAACGTTTTGTTTTCAAAAAAAATAACTAAAATTCGGTGCTTTATTATCCAAAACGATAGTGTTTTCTTTAGAAAGATACAACAGCACAATCTCTATGATGTTATAGTATATAGTCTCATAACATCGGTTTATTGGAATTGACAAAATTTTCCAAATGTCTCCTATAGTATGGAGGGACTGCATCCTCTCAGAATGTGTGACAAAATCAAAACAATAATAGATTGATAAGTTCTAATGAAACAAGTTGTCAAAATATTGTGATCGAGGCATTATATCGAAAATGAAAGAACAATTGTTGAGTTTCGAATCAATGAGTTTTGTGTTCAAATATATGTCACTAAGTTTTCTTTTCGACAGAAGAAATATTGCCCTATTATATCTTTCCGTTTTCCAGATATTTGCAAAGGAGTGAAAAGTCTTTACAGCATATGTTGATAATAGTGATAGAACATGGTAATAGTGTTTTGCATTATTTAAGCCATGTATTTATCCTACCTTGTTAAACTATTTTGACCATTCTTCCGCTTTCTCTACATTTGAATAATAAATATAAATAGCCAATAATGTCTGCAAGTCATGAACCATGGGTACAAGTTGTTGACCATAGCTATTATCAACAATTAAAATCATTCTATTATCTTCATTACTTGTTTCTTGAATATATTTTTAACATTCATTAATACTGTCAAACATTTTGAGATAATTAATCACTTGACGTAATTTTAAATATAATTAATGAATTACTAAGTCTGAATGAATACTATGATTGCACCAAATCAAAGTAAATATTTCCAAATTATCTGTGGGGAGGTCTTGAATAGATGGTGAGTCTTGTATATTCATCAGCACATTGGTGTCTTCGTTGCGGGGTGTGAGTGTAGGTGTGTCTGACTGTGCTAGAAAATAAAGACAATATCCGCATCCACACCACTCACACCTACACCCTACAACTACATCCACACCCCACCCACCCACACCCACACCCATACCCACACATACATCCTTCTATGACAGAATGAAATATATTATAGATATTGCACATGAAACACTTTACGGTTTGTATGCTTTCGCGTTTTTTAGAAAGCTAAATGGAATCCTTATATGAGGAAAGCCATGTTTTTGTTGATCATTAGGAATAAAATCTGTTATGTTCGGAGTGGTAGCTACTGACACACCACTCAATGTTTCAAATCATTGAATATTTGCAACAGATAATCAATTATATTAATCGCGCGGGTAGTGTCTAGGTCTTGGTGCAGATGATTGTTAATGTGAGTATATGAATGAGTCTATTAAAGTTCCATGCAAACAATCTATTAAGATTCGTTCATAAATACCGATGCGAATCCCGAGGCATGACCTAAAACTATATCCAGTCTTCCATTATCGTCGAAGTCATACAGAACTACTGATGTGGGATAGCCATATGTAAAAATACGTGATGATATGAAGAAAGCCCCGGTTCCATCACCGAGAAGTACAAGAAAATAATTCTCGAAGTAATTGGGAACAACGACATCTAAGTAAGTATCACCATTCAAGTCACCAATTGCGAGACTCATTGAACAGAAGCCGACCATGTAGTACTCTGATGCTTGAAAAGTACCGTTACCGTTGCCGAGTAAAACACTGATCGTAAGATTACCACAATTTGAAACTACTATATCTGTTTTATCGTCACCATTCAGATCGCCCAAAGCCAGCCCGAACGGATTACCACCAACGTGATTGGTAGCTAACATACGGAAATTACCATTACCAACTCCTTGATATATATCAACATTACCAGTACCATAGCTGGAAGTAGCGAAGTCCAATCGATTATCGTGGTTGAAATCAGCTACAGCAGCTAGTTCAGGATAAGGGTTGGTGGCAAAATACTTTTGAGACGCAAAACTACCAGTGCCATCACCGAGAAGAATGCTAATAGTACTAATACCTAAGTTGACTACCAACAAATCGAAATGTCGGTCACCATTAAAATCTTCGACACAAACCGAAGATGGAAAATAACCAACTGCAAAATTTTTTTGCGGAAGGAAAGTACCATCACCAAGACCAAGTGAAACACCGACACTGTCGTTGCCTTGGTGAACAACAGCTATATCTTCATGACTGTCTCCATTGAAGTCACTCACGGCACCTACCCTTGGATTATTCTGAGTCATAAACGTTTTTGGTGATTCGAAGCTTCCATTTGCATAGCAAAGAAAAACGTAGAAACAATTTTCAAAGTAACTGAAAACAGTCAGATCCATGCAGTTGTCATGATTGAAATCGCCGATGACAACTCCATATGTGACATTTGGTATTCTATATGAATACTGTTGACTGAATGCCAGATTGATGAAGATGCTATCTAGACATTAAAGATTTTTTTATGATTAACTAGATACGCATCAGAGATGCAACTCGATTATTGTAGATCTAGATAAACTGCTGTAAATGCTATTATTTCATTTTCAATATTTGTTTAGAGTATCGAAATAATGTTCCGAACGTCTTCTTAAAACGAATTAAATGCACTGAATTTTTTTCTTACTGATGTAATTGTAAATTTTTAAACTAATATTCCTTTCATAAGGTTTTGTATTGTTCATTTATTAGTAACAAAGTTTGATGTATTATGAGTCTTTTTGTTTTGAAATGAGATTTGTACAGTCTCTGACTCTTTTATGATTAACATCTTATCGAAGTGAGATTGAAATGTGTATTTCAAAATGATATATTGAATCAAACCAGTGCATTTTATATACTGACTATATTTATCGTTTCCATTGAGTCGATCTTAGAATCAAAAGCAAGATTTTTGGGCGCCTTGAGAAGTAATAACATCAATGCTTCATAGCTAATCAGTAACTCTGCTTCTTTCTCTCATGTTGAATGTCTTCTTCAACTAATACAGATAGTCAGGTAGGAATACTGCCGCTGCTGTTTCTGATGAACGTTGCATAAAAAATGCTACTACTGATTATATTCTATGAGTTACTTCAAATATATTGAAAGAGTCATACTATGCAACTCTTTAGCATTATAGTCTGATGTCTTCTCGAAGCTCATTGTTTCTACTGACTTTTTGTAGCCGTCGTGGTCGATGTAATACTTGTCGTCGTCGTCGTCGTCGTTATTGTGGCTGCTTTTGTCCCTGTTGTTGCTCCTAAAACATGCGACATACTGATGGTTTTATATTATAATCTGGTGTGCATAATTTCCAGCTGTTCATGATTTTAGTCGTGTATGCAAAGTAACATTCTATGATTATCACCTCTGGCTAGAACGCTTATGCAAGTGATGCTCTTGTTTACATTCACAAAAAAAAAGAAAAAATAGAAAAATTTATATAATATCCGTCATGTTCATCACCAGACAATGATTTCCAATACCAATGTCGGATTTGCAAGGACTTCATAAGTACAACATTTTGGAGCCTATTGCAAAAAGCTTAGAAAAGACTGATGACATTTATGCAAGTTCGAAGTTTTTGTTCTTGAGATTCTGACTCTAATTGACAACGACATATATTCAGGTAAATACAATATTATAGAATCATGACTGACAACGGCAAATGAATTCATTCGTTAAATGAAGAAAAAATCGTATACTCTTTGCTATTTCACCAAAACTCCTCTCCCTTGTTGTTTTAGTCGTGAAATTATTAGGTCGAACAAAAAAAATAGACACGAGAGAATTTTCGCCCATCATATACAACCTGTCGACTTTATTCCATTTTGAGAATTAGTTGGATATATGAGTGTATACATACTGTTGAAGTCTGATTTCCGATTTCGATGCAAGAAAACATATGAAAGGATCCCTGCATTTATAAGGATTGAACCAATGATTACACCAATGATAACTAGTACCTTTCTTTTGATTATTTCAGTTCTATGCAAAATAATAGAAAATAAAGTTGAGATATGAAACAAGATAAAGACGTACTTGACAGAAACTATCGTTGTTTCCATAGATCACTGATCGTTGATGATATTTTACACGATGATATGGAATTTGTGAATCTATGCATAACATCATTTATGACTCAGTATATTTGAGAAAACGACAAATGTAACTATTAAAAAACACGTTCAAATAAGTTTGCGAGATAGAACGCTAATTGCTTGTGAGTCAGCATTGTTCATTCTCTATGCGAACTACTTGTCAAACTCAGCGAATCATTTGCAATTGCACTCAATAGCAATAATTGAACAATGGAAGTAAAGATAATTCCATATGTCTGCACTTATTGATATTTGAAAGGCTCCTATATTTTATATGCTAGTATGTTTGAGATGTCATTAAGTAAAGAAACTCTTGTCTATTCGACTTGTTGCAGTTTGATTAAAAACTCGGAAAACAATGTTCAGCAAATGTATTGTAAACTGAAACGGAGCTCCATTTTAATTCATTGTGAATACCTGTCTTTAATGCGGTGAAATAAAATGATAGAGAAAGTTGTCGGTATAAAGAAACGCACAAGAGAATACTTTGAAAGAGACCATAGAAAATAACCATCGACAAATAGTTTCTTATTTTTTTTTTAAGGATATATGTTTGTGTGAGAAAAATAAAAGCGAGTGGCATGCATATTTAGTGGAAGCAAGGCTTCGCTCTTAATTTAGAGAACGCTCTCAAGCTGTTCAATGCTATTTGAAACTAACAGATTGTTCTAACCAATATTCATAATTGAGAAAAAGAATATTCATACTATAGAAATAACTTGGTCAGTTATTATGATTGCATACACTCGAGAATCAGACATCTGAATGAGTTTTGAAAGAAAGTATTATTTATTTAACATACAATATCAAAATGTATATTGATAAAAGTCATGTTCTGATAAGAGAAGTCATTGCTTTCTACTTAGCTGAAATTTTTTTTTAGAAGAAATCATCAGAATAAGTACCTTTGACACTGTTGGAGGCTTGTGTTTAAAAGCTAAAATATAACTGGAAATAGCGTGAAACGGCCATAATTCACATATATTGCTATTGAGAGGGAAGAAGGCATTTCTGTAATAGAAGCTCTCTTTTTTAGCAACTCAATATAATAAAAGTTTTGCTTGTCATGGATAAACATATAAGCTTGATTTATGCATTCAATTGTAACCATAAGGATGTGTAACAGATGGTTCTTTTCTCTGATTCAGAAAAACATCTCTAAATCTTGATCATTTCAAAGTACCTCCCGTTTTACACATTTTTCAAGACGAAGAGAACCTAATTTATGTTCCTAGTTGAACCGGTTCTCTAGTAGATTATCGATTAAGAAATATGTTAAGTTTGTTCTCAAGATTCTACTTAGCTATCAGTATTAGCCTTCATAAAGTTCTCTCGATACCCATCTTCCAATTAAAATTTCGTTCGTTCAAGCTAACGTAAGATCACTTAAAATGTCATAAGTGCTTTACTGAAAAAGAGAAAAAAATCCCATAACCATGCCACATGGTATAATTCGTCCTTCTTCATTTCTTCCATTTGTTTAATATCTTTTCAAAGTAATGCCTTCTGAAAAAAAAAAATCAAGGATTTTCGGGGGGTAGGTGTTTTGGCTCTTTTGAAACCGATATATTCGATGTCACAAATAGTGAAAATTTTGAAAAAAGATGAAAACTGTATCCATCTACATTTCAATTTAAGAATTAGGGTGTGGGTGTGGGTGTGGGGTGAGGGCGTGAGTATCGAGAGCATCAACACCCACACCCACTAGGGAGCTGCAAAGTGGTCCCGGTCCCGGTCCCGGCGGGACCGGGACCGGGACCGGGACCAAATTTTGACTTTTTTGCGGGACCGGGACCGGGACCGGGACCGGGACTAAAAATTTTGCATACTGGTCCCGGTCAGTTTTTTATGCAATGTGTCGCCATTTATTTTATTTTTTTGACAATAGTAATGGCGACTCAGTATAAATAATCAATTCGATAATAAATCCCTTAGCTAGAGCAGTAGATATAAGAGAAGAGAGAAATGAGTAGATGACTACTACGAAGAACATGAGAATTTTTAACAAAATTCAATGGTTATTTTTATTTATTCGAGTTTTCAATGAAATTCTTTCACTTTAACACTGGATATAAAAACAATTCTCGTAATGTTAACGAATCAAAATTATTCATGTCAATTTAATGTATTCATAAAAGTACATAGATCGTTAAAAAATTGTTCGATTTTAGGAATGAAGCCAATGTCAAAGACCGGGACCGGGACCGGGACTGGAAAAAAATTTGACCGGGACCGGGACCGGGACTAAAAAAAAATATATGACCGGGACCGGGACTAAAAAAAGTGATTTTGCAGTTCCCTAACACCCACCCGTCCTGTGAGTATCTCTGTATTCTAAAACAGAATTCAAACAGCGACATTTCAGTCAATAGAAATTCAAGTTCGACAATTTGGCACGTATCAAGCATCGGAAAATTATAACGAAATCTCTGAAAAGAAAAAAAAACAGAAAATAGCGTTTCTGATTGATGGATTTTTTGACTAACGGGAAGTCAGATGAGGGTGGGTGGAGTGTACATGTCCGTGCATTTTTATTATCAATACCTAGACGCAAACTCATTCACGAACCGACACCCAAATCCACAAACTCATCAACATCCACATTCACATCCATACTCACGCCTCGCCACATTGAATCTTCAATAAACACTCCTCGATCCTGAAAACCTATGGCAAAGTTTCATCAGCTTGCGAAAAAAGCCAATGAATTGAAAAGCTACCTTCTCATTGGTCATTCTCTCGACCAATAAAAGCTTCGATTAAAAATCTGACCTTGGATTTGGATTCCTGGAACCGAAAAACCTACAACAAAGTTTAAGCAGAATAGTCGAAAATCCGATGAATAAAAAAGCTCGTTTTTGATCGACTAGGATAGACAAACATGTATACATTTTTTAAATGGAAGATTCTTTCCTACAGAAAAGGGAAAAACTTTTTTCACAAAAATTTCATAGGCTTTGGAAAAAGTTCATCTTTTCTGAAAAAGTCTATTTCGACTTAAAAAGAAGAATTTCGAAAAAAATTGTTTTCTTTGACATCCCACAAACAGATAGGCAGACAGACAAACGCATTTTGTTTCATATGATTCTCCCTACAGTCGAGGGAATACATCGCTATTTTTTGAAAAGAAGTTAAGTTACATCAATATTTTATTTATCAATTTTATTTGTATTTGAAACTTCACAGATGAAATCTTTTAAAAACGATGAACTTGACGATGACTCACGTAGTTCACTTGCCAATGAAGAGAGCGATATGAGTGATTTCGATTTCCACTACGATGAATTAGCAGATGATTTGGATAGACTTTAAGTATTAAGTGAATATTCCAATGAAAATGAAATGGACGTTGATTCTATAAGTGAAATTCATACATATAATGGTTGCTTTACGTCAATTTCTCCCAAAGATGTATCGCCGATTTTAGTGTTCAGGAATATTTTCACGGAAGAAATTTTTAATCGAATTGTCAATCAAACAAACTTTTAAGAGGAATAAAAAGAACAATGGAATAGTCGGAATAATACTAATTGTTGAAACGATATAGAGACGAAAGATATTGAATCGTTTCTTGACATAATCATTGTGATGGCAATTAATAACGTACCGGAGGATGTGGGTATTAGAATAAAGGATTACATGCGCTCACACCCACAATCATCTATTGATGTCTTTAATTAAGATCGAAATGATTCATAGTTAGCTTAATTCATACTCTCACCTTACCCTCAGCCTCATGGACATGTCCTATTCTAACAAAATTAATTAACTATTTATTCATTACTATTGTTTCATACGTGATCAATCGATGAAATATGATAATATTCAACAGTATCACTTGTAAAGCAATCATTCAAATGTGATTCTTTTGTCATCATCTCTTTATATTTTCTTCTCAAATAAATTAGCACAAATATTTGTATTTTTTACATTGATTTTTTTGATGAATTAGTTTGAAAATGTTGATCTCTCCTACAGTAGTAATCCTGGTCTTCATCTTTGCCGTTGCAGATAGTCAAGTTCTACTTTACAACACTGAAAATAAAGAATTAGCAGAGGAATTTGACTGCGTCTATTATATACCTTATTATGGAGAGGAAATTTTATATTGTCGACGTTTAAGTGAAAATCAGCTATTCCTTGAACATAAGGATGAATGTAGCAATCAAGGAGAGAAGCAAATGTTCGGTGATCTGCTTAAAAAAGAAATTCATCCAAGTATCGTCTTCAAATGGAGTTCGAGTGTTGAAATGACAGATTCATATAGCAAAGTCTTCAATAATCGATCATTAATTGATGACAATGAGGACCAATTTGTGTGTAAATGTACAGCAGGAACATTTGGCAAATATTGTGAGTATCAGTTGACACATGAATCAAAAAAGTTTAGTGAAGCTGTTAAAAGACAGTTTGAACAAAAACAAGACACGGATGACGATTCATGGAACACTCAACGATATGGAAAAATTCTCTGCTACGAGACATTGCCTTGTTCTTCAAGCCCTCTCTGCCTTGACTGCCGTGAGATTTGTGACGGCATACAAAGATGTTCAAATGGTGTCGATGAAGAAAATTGTGACAAATTAGAATTCAACGAGTGTGACGATGATGAATTTCGATGTGAAAATTGAATGTGCATCTCACAAGAATTCTGGTTGGATGGTGAGTAATGCCGATTCTAGTAAGAATTCTTTATTCCATTGATCATGCTCACAGGTGATTTCGATTGTATGGATAGAACCGACGAATACTTTGTTGACCGCGGAACAACCTGTCCGTTTCAAGCTAATGCGATGGAATGTGATGAAAATTTATGTTCAACTGGTTTATACTCATGCGATGATGGGCAGTGCATAGCATGGGAAACTCGAATGGCATTCCAACGATTGGGCAAAGCACAAAAAGACTGTTTTAATAAACGTAATATAAATTATATGTGCGAGTTGAGCCAACATCGACCAACTTGGACAAACGAAAATGGACTATGTTGACCAGATAAAAATTATGATGATCCTCGATATCCTCCTTGGAATATGATTAATGCATCAAATCTTACCATCGACGAAATATGCCAGTATCTCTTTCGATGTGCTTTGACGAAAGGATTTGAGCATGATTGTCCATGTAATCATCAAAATTGTACACTAATGATGCTGAGTGTATGTCAAAGAGCTGATCGTCTCATTTTCTATCCGCCATACGAATTAATTAGTTCAAACCTTTTTATCATGTACAACTATACTCGCTCTATAGAAAATCCAATGCCTCAATCTTTTCTACTTGCTGGAAACCTAAAATGCCGAGGATTCTTTTTTTAGGCAACACGCTTTTTTTCACTACAGATAGATATGTCAGCGATCTCTTACCCATTCGTGAATCATGTACTCTGCGCAGGCTTTGCTTCCAATTATGGATATAAAAACTTTACATCTTCTCATCAAAATGACCGATTCTGTTGAAATGACTCACAAACATTCAATGGTCGCCCATACACTGTCTATACCGACATATGTACTGAGGAAGGAGAGTGTATATCAAATTATAGAATACGTGATGGAGATTTTAATTGCATGGATGGTGACGATGAGCTGAGACAACTTGACAAGACTTATTGTACGGGTAATGTAGGACGACATCGTTTTCAGTGTTTTAATAATGAACATAAATGTCTTCCATTACGAAAGTTGGGCTCAGGCATGAGTGACTGCTCGAATGGTTATGATGAAAGTTGGTTCGGTATTGGTACTACTCTTCGATATCAGCTTCCATGTTTTAAATGGATCACCACTGATTGTCCTCGTGTGATGGAATACATTCATCAATCATCATCGAAGAATTCGATCAATAGTAGTCTGTTCATTGATCATCAACAACAAGAATCAACATATCGCATGCCGTTTCGATATTATTGTAATACTTTCTGGGATTCAGATCAATACATAGACGAGACACCTTCTTCCTGCAAATATTGGATATGTCAGCATAGTCAATATCAATGTCGAACGGGGCAGTGCATTCTAGTTGAATGGGTTTGTGACGGTGAATGGGATTGCTCAGATGCATCTGATGAAGAAGCTTTTGTATTAATTGAAAATTCGTCATTTCACAATAGAAATTTGAAAGATTTATCTTTACAGTTAGAAAAATGTCGCAAACGATATTCGACTGCAACATTTTCGAAAATCTGCAATATATCTTTGGAGTTTGGTTGTTATCTATCTGGTGTTTCAAATCCTTTAGACATTCAATTGAATCGTCCATGCATTAATCTTACTCAAATTGGTGATGGTGTAGAAAATTGTTATAATGCTTACGATGAAAAAAATACATTTATATCAAATTTGAGAGGAGGACGCATGTGGGGTTTTCATTTTCGTTGCAATAATGAAGATATGACCTACCAAGATGTTTGTATACAGGGCCGTAACTGCAGCCAGATTCATTGCTTAAATGATCAAAATAATAATAGATCATGCTCTGGCAAGGAAGATTTCCTTTGTCTCCATGATAATCGTTGCAGAAAGAATGTGCGATGCAATGGAAGTCCTGACTGTTTTCATGGAGAAGATGAATATTGGTGCCCATCTGGTTTTCTTATAGATGTAACAGGATATCGTATAAGCAAGAAGCAAATATCATTGCAACGCGATGAAATTCTTTCTCAAATATTCAATCCCTCTGAAACCACATTAAACATCAGTCGACATCAATTATCAGAGTTTATTAACAGTCGTAAAAACTATGAATATTTCAAAGTTCATTCATATCAATGTAATCGAGGTATCGCTGTTATTCATATAAATGAAACACGATGTTTATGCCCACCTGCTTATTATGGTGACTGGTGTCAATACTTCAATGATCGAATCAGTATCATTGCACGTATCGAGCACGGAACACAGTCAAAGACAATATCAGATCGTGTATTCAAAATTAAAGCCAATATTCTTTTTAAACATAGAATCATTTATCATCATGAATTCCATGTTGTCCCAATGCTAGAAAGAAACTATTTCATCAAGCATAAATTTTATCTACTTTATTCACGTTCTTCGGAAATGCTTGTGCATAAGCAAAAGCGTTATTTCAATCGAAGCGATGTAATTCATGATCATCCATATTCAATTCACTTTGATGTTTTTGCGTTGAAAGGTGATAACAATTTAGAAGAAATTGGGCCATGGCATTATCCCATTTATTTCGACTATCTACCTGCATTTCGTTTAGTCGTGGTATTAAAATTTCCATCTTGGTTTGGAAATTTAACTCTTAATCCTTGTTCGAAAACTAGTTGCAACAAGAACTCTATTTGTCTTCCAGTTTTCAATCATAACAATTCTTATTATTGTTCGTGCAAAAGTGGTTACTATGGAATAAATTGTAGTATGTACGAACCTATTTGTGAGACATACTGTTCAGCAAACGCACTCTGTCGGCCCGATGATTTCAATCTAGGAACAAGAAAAAGTAGCCCTTATTGCATTTGTCCATTAGATCATTTTGGATTACGTTGCAATTTGAAATATGAAGATTGTACTTCGAATCCATGTTTGAACAATGGAACTTGTTTCTCTAATTATGATCGAAGTGGTGAAAATCCTTATCTGTGCAGATGTTCATCGAAATTCGATGGATACAACTGCGAAAATGAGAAAGTAACTGCTCATATTTATTTGAACATGACAACAATGTTACATATTCGTGCTGTTGTCGTTCAGTTTTACGACTATGACCATCGTAATTTGATGCTTCACATTTTGGATCAGCAGATCTATACCGAGTTACCGTCGTCAATCATATCCTACCGTTCTAATGTCGATGCACCTTCACTTGGAATTCTCAAACTCTATGAAGATCTATCACATCCGCAATATTTTCTCATATTTTTCTTGGATCAGCAGCAGAAAATCAATATAACTTCATCGCCACAGCATTGTTCGCATGGTGCACTTTTACTACCAGAAGGTTTGCATTTTTATCGATAATAATAATATTTACGTAAATCGAATTTTAGTTTCAGAAATCGATCCATTTGTCCCATCCGTTTTCAAATATCATCATATCTGTCGAAATAAGAATTTAACTTTCTGTTTTTATGATGAAAACTATTTTTGTATTTGTCAACATGATCGTTACCGTGCTGAATGCTTTATCAAAAATATTGAACATGACCGTTGTCACCAATGTTTTTTAGGAGGAACATGTCTACAAGGCGATTTAGAAAATCCCAAAGATTTCATTTGTCATTGTCTACCTTGTTATCAAGGACATCGATGTGAATTTAGTTTGCAAGCATTTGGTTTTACTCTCGATTCACTTCTTGTTAGCTATTCGAAAAAAGTGAAGATTGTCTATGTCGTTATAGTTGGCCTTCTTTTCATCATCGGGTTGTTTAATAATTTCTGTTCATTCATCACATTTAAACGGCCTACACCGCGTAAGTTTGACGTCGGTTATTATTTGTTAACTGCAAGTTGTCTCAATCAAATTGCTTTGTCCTGTCTGGTTTTCAGATTCATTCAAGTTACTCTTGGATTTATTGATGTTGGATCATGTAAAGTAATTTCCTATCTTCTTTCGGTCATGACACGATCAACTTACTGGTTGACCAGTTGGATAACCATTGACCGTCTTCTAATCATTCTCTTTCCAACTTCATCTGCTCTAAAAAACCCTTGGTTAGCTACTGTAGTTAGTACTTTCACATTGGTTATCTTGTTGGGTATGCATGTACATGAAATTATCTATAATACAGTTATCCAACATTTCTCCACTAGTTCATCAATTTGTGTAACAAATTTTGATACAAATCTGATCTCTGTTTACAATCGAATCGCTACTTTCATTCATTATCTTTTCCCATTTTTCATCCAAATAATTTGCATTACTGCTTTGCTTATTTTGGCTGCACGCAGTCGAGCGAAGACGATGGGACATAAAATGAACTTTGGCGAAGCGCTAATGAGACAATTTAAAGCTAAAAAAGAACTCTATGTTACACCAGCAATCATTGTTCTTTCTGCCCTTCCTCAAGCTATTCTTGCATTCAGTTTGGCATGCATTACATTGAGTGATTGGCAAAATCATATACTACTTGGAGCTTATTTGTTTTCTTATGCTCCACAAGTTCTGGGCTTTATTCTCTATGTTCTACCATCAACGAATTACAAGAAAGAGTTTTATAGAACATTCATTGGGAGGAATTCTTTGAAGTGGTTATCGAGCAATGTTACGGGTGAAAATACTACTTCGAAGACATATGCGTTTAAGTCAATATAATGCGAATTATTTAAAACTATAGCTTTTCTGCTTAATGTTTCTTTCAGATCAAAACTAATCCGTCGTGTCTGCATGCTGAACTAAAAAAGTTAATTAGTATAGCTTTTTTGATGTAGAAAATGTGAATTGGTTATCATCAGAAGGAGAATCTTTCTTATTCTGTATTTCCAACAGAGGGTGTGGGTGTGGGTGTGGAAATAAATCCAACACCCACACCCACATCCACACCCACACCCACAAGTCTGGCTCTCTTTATTCTAGATCTTCAGTAATACCCTTATATATTCGTGTACTCTTTTAAATGAAAAATGAAGTAAGTCTGATTAAAATATAATATTTCACTTGTTTTACATATAATAGATATTCTTCAATAAAACAAGTTGTTTAAAGTCTATCTTTATAGAATTATTTCTATAAAATATATTTTGTTTTATTTGATTTGTTTTAAGTTTATTTCTTGTTTTATTCAGATCTATGATTTAAAAAAAAAAAAAAACGATTATTTTAAAATAATAAAATGCAAATCAACTTTGAAAATCTTTAAATGAATAATAATAATAATAATATAATTAGTTCATATAATATTGTTCAATAGTAAATTATTTAACATATTAATTGATCAAAGTTAAATAAAGGTTAACTGTCGATAATTCTATCATTTATATGACACAAACATTCAATTAAAATAACAGATTTTTTTTTTATCCAAAAGAAAAGGGTGGATGTGGATCTAAGATAGATTAGAAGATATGCAGACCCTACTCGCACACCTTCACACCCACATCCTTAATGTTCTCTAATAAAAACAAAGAAAACAAAAACAAAAACAAAAACAAATGATTTATTTAATATAACTATAAATGATATTAATTGTGTTTCCTTAAATTCTATTTTCGATTTTAACGATTGTGTTCACTTTTTAAAAATAATCAATAAGTATTGAAATAATCATCAACAATACCAACAACAAGTTTATCAATTCAATATTTGTTAAAGATTTGAAAATTCTATATATAAAATAAGAAATTTAATCGAATTAATGATGAAATTTTGTTTTGCATATTCGTCTGTAAAAGTAAAAGTATTCTTGATCATGTTAATGTTAATTGTAAAGCTAATATTATTTTATGTTAACAATTAATAGTCGTGATTATTCAGAAACTGTTTACGTTCAATTTGTATTGATTCTATGATTATTTAATTTTGAATGAGAAAATAAACAATTGAAGTAAATTGAATAGTATTGTTTCGTTTAATTTATTCATCTATTATTATTTTTATAGTTAACATAAGTTAAAGTAACAAACAATAATAGTTTATTCTGATATTATTTCATTAATCTTCATTATACACGTTTGTCTGATCGATTATTTTATGATATTTATTAATTGACTTTTATATAATTGATGCTCAAGTAGAACAATTCTTATATAAAGATTGACTTTTTTATTTTCATTTTTCATTAAGAAAAATGAAAATTGTTTTATTTTAAAATATATATGTAGTATAATCAAATATTAAATCTGAATTGATGAACTTTTATTTGAGATAAAATAATGATAGAAGAATAATTTGTTTAGTATGTTTATTAAATATAATTGTCAATAAAAACAAAGTGAAATAATATGATTTTCAAGAGAATAATTATTCGTTTTCTAATGTCTATTTCAGAGTTAAATATCCGTGAACATTTTCTTTGAATAACTTTTGATACGAACGAGATTGAGATCTGCAGTTTTCACCTTTGGAAAAAGCAGATGAAGATGCATCGAATTCTATATAGAAACATTTTTTCTAACTACTTTCATAAAAGTTTAGTCAAACATTTTCAAAGAATTGATTTTTTTATTCTAGATTAATAAAATGGTTTTTCTATCAAAATACAATATAATATTTATATTTTTCGATTATTTTGTTGAAAAAAAAAATGAGGTGATAAATTGTGTTCCGACGGTTTGAATATCATAATGGTAAGTAGTTAGGAACAGAGTCTTTATATAGTTTAGTAGACCTTTGTTTGATGATTCTCTCACACTCCTGAAAAATCAATAAATTAATATTGTAACCATGAGAAACATACTCTTTTTATTTAACTTTTATGTAAAATCTATAGAAAAGTAGATAGAAAAATCTTTCGATATAGAATTCGATGTGTCTTCATTTGCTCTTTCCAACAGTGAAAATCGTAGATCTCGATCTTTATCTCGTTCTTATCAATATTTATTGAAAAACTGACCACTTCCATTTAACTCTGAAATGGACATTATTAATAGATAATATCGTATTTCAACTTGAAAAGTATTTCAAAGTATTTTCATATACTTAAGACAAATTACTTAACATGCTTTTCAAGTTTATTCAGTTCATTTGATATAACTTGTTCATAGTTTTATCATCTTGTTCATGCTTTGATATAGTTCGAGGTAATTTTCAATTTGAAATACGCTATATTATATACCTCTAGTTGTTAGTCTTAAATAAAGAGAAGCTAATATTTTTATGCATACGTTTTATTCTGTAATGATATTCAAAATAATAATTGTTCAGTATGATAATAATGTCAGTATTTTAGCTTGTGTTATTCATTGGTGTAGATCGTTTTACAAATTGATGTGTTTGAGATTGTGAATGACAATGCGTATTGTTAATAAAAACAAATTGATGAAGATAAGACATTAGAACTGATATAGATAATCTACCATAAAGAATGATTTAAAACAATTTTTAATAAAATGTCGTTTGTGATCATAGAACATTTAGAAAAAAGCTTTTGTTAAATATAAAGTAAGATAGAAGATTTAATAGAATAACACCTAATTGCTCATATTCATAAATATAAGCAGTTAAATAATAAAGCAATATGTTTTGATCATAGGAAAATGTCAAAAAATACAAATTAATAATAGGAGATTGTTTTATTTCATAGGGATAGAAATGAGAAAAATTTCTATGAATATCATCTTATAGAATGTTTTTAATGGTGGTGGACGAAGAAATAACATTATTAAGTTGAACAAGACGATTTGCCTAAGTATATAACGAGACGGGGATTTGTAGTTCTTTTTATATTTGTGGAGTTGTTGAAAATTTCTATAAGATAAATCAAACCTGAAAAAAAAAATTTTGACAATCTATATTATTGCTGTTATTGTTTCTGTTTTGCTACGACAGTTTTGTTCTATCAGAATACTGTTAACAATAACCAATTGAACGAATAGATAAATTTCGATAGATGTTTAAAAATGCTTCAACATCATTCGAATAAAGAATAGTTAACATTTCTAAACGAATTTAACATTAAACATAAAAAGATTTTAGAAGGTTAGTTGGGTCATTTTATTATTTTATCTTTATCAGACTTTTTCCAATTTTTAAAATGAAAATTTATCAAACAATTAGAAAAGTTATCGATTTGTTTTCTTTTTTATTGTGTGTTAAACTTTTAATGATAGGATTATTTAAACTACTAGGGAATCTTATCTGAAAAGTAAATCTATAATATAAATTAGTATTTAATTATTCTATAATAAATTGTTAATATAACTGTTGAATATCAATCTCAATGTAAAAATATATTATTATCAGTGATATTAGAGAATAGTTTTATTTTAGATTTTACAATGAGAAGTTTTTTCAAGCTATGAAAAAATTCTATATGATTCAAAGTTTTATTTGCTTTTTATTGATAGAAAAATTCTCGATTTAGTGACTCATTCGACGAAAAAAAAAGTTCATTTATTAGTATTATTCACTTACTTGACGCGATCTATCAATCGATCGATTATTGTGGGATAGATATATATACTCTATACTAATATTTTTTCTTGATATTTAATTATTTTCATTAGATAACTCTTGTTAAAAGACTAAGCCATTACAAGAGCCTAGATTAAATCAACGATATTGGACTTAAAATAAAAATAATGTTTACAAATTACTTGATATAAAACACGTAACTATTATTTCACATTATATTTGACCAGACATTAATATCAATTAAAAATGTTCGAAATTTTACTAATGTGAGATAGATGTCAATGTTCAATGATGATTTGAATATTGTTGTTGATGTATATATCGTCTATCAGTGTTATTATCGAATTGAGATGTTTATGCATGAACTAAATAGAATTCGTCAGATTCCCACAACATATTCTCATATTTCTGTAATGATTTGAAATAAGTACATTATTTAGAATACATTGAATTTGTTTTCAGATCTTCTATAGATATGTTTAACGTTGTCTAGATTTATTCAATTATTTTTCTTCCTTCAATGACTTAATTCCGAAGATTCTTTTTATTGTTTGACTATGTTTTACTCGTTAATTTTCTTGAGTTATTTTAGCTTTGACTATGATTTAAATTCTGTTTATCTATATCTGATAAATCGTTATATTTTAATAATGTTTGAGTCCCGAGATTCTGATCAAATAACAATTGACAGAAAACAAACATGTCTCGAAAAAACTTTCAAAATATCAATGTAATTAGTCAAATTTTTTAAATGAAAGAATAAGTGGCAGAAGTAACGAGCAACAAAAGTCAATCAAGCATGATATTTATGTACACAGATGTATAAAATGAAGCTTTCTTTCTTTCTTTCTCTTCCTAGTTTGTCAATAGATATATGTATACCTTCGTTTTCAATAAAAATGCACGTGCCGATCAATCACTTTCTCTTTCTCTCTCTCTGTGTTTATATCTTGTTTTATCTGTCAATAAATTATTGTTTCAACATTGAATATGTAAGTGTAGCTTCATTCTATTG